AAGAGCCTGGAAGGTAGCTGACTGCTGGTCACAAAGGATCTTATGAATCAAATTAAAAGAGTTTGGATTTTATTCTACATGCACTGGGCAACAGTTAATGTGTTTTAAGAGGGGAAAGTGATGTATCTGATTTTATAGACTAGGTGGTGTAATCAGTCATTCTTGGGATAAGTGACATTAAGTTTTCTGATTCATTTGTATAGGCAAGCCCCCAATCACAAATGTCCTCATAACACAGATGCAGCCCTAGCTGGTTTGGCTCAGTGGATAGAGTGTTGGCCTGCAGATGATGGGTCCCAGGTTTGATTCCTGTCAAGGGCATATACTTTGATTATAGGCTCCTCCCCGGCCCAGGCCCTGGTCAGGGTGAGTGCAGGAGGCAACCAATTGATGTGTTTCTCTCACATCAATGTTTCTGTCTTCCCCTCTCTCTTCTACTCTCTAAAACTCAATGGGAAAATATCCTTGGGTGAGGATTAATAAAACAAACAAACAAAAATAAATAAAAAGTTATAAAACAGATGCAGAGAAAGAAGTTCTGACACACAGAAAAGAGGAAGCAATGTGACGGAGGAGGCAGATATTGGAGCTGCCAGCTTGGAAGAGGAAAAAAATGGATTATCCCCTTGGGCCTCCAGAGGGAGCATGGCCTTGACAACACCTTGATTTCAGACCAGTGAAAGTAATTTCAGACTTCTGGTCTTCTGAACAGTGAGAGAATAAATGTCTGTTGTTTTAAGGTACCAAGCTTGTGGTAATTTGTAAAAGCAGTAATTGGAAATCAATACAACATTAAAAAAATAGCTCAAGAATGAATTTAACAAAAGAAGTACAAAATTTACTCTCTGAAAACTATAAAATACTAGAGGCCCAGTGCATGAATTCGTGCACAGGTGGGGTCCAGATGGCCCGGCCCCAATTGGAGCGGATTGTGGCCAGGCCTGTTGGGAGGAGGAGATGGTGGGAAGTTGGCCAGCCGGCCCGCCCTGATCAGGCCAATCAGGGCTGGGCTGGCTGGGGGAGGGGCCATGGGCAATTGGCTGGCGGGCCCCACCCCCAATTGGGGTGGGGGGGCCTGATGGGGGATCATAGCCTGGAGGAGGGGCCATCAGTGGTTGGCTGGCTGGCCCTGCCTCTGTTCAGGGCTGGGGGACTGATCTGGGGTGGGGCCAGGTGGGGGAAGGGGCTACAGGAGGTTGGCTGGCTGGCCCTGCTCCCTATTGGGGTAGAGGGTAGCAATCAGGGGCGGAGCTAGCCAAGAGGAGGGGCTGCGGGTTGATCTGGGTGATGGGGGCCCATCAGGGGTGGGACTGGCTGGGAGGAGGGGCTGCAGGGGGTTGGCCAACAGTCCCTCCCACTGATTGGGGTGGGAGAGGCTGATCAGGAGAGGGGCGGCTGGGGGGAGGGGTCGCGGGAGGTTGGCTGGTGGCCCCACCCCTTGACAGACCGGTTCACTGACCGCAGTGGGCATCATAGCTACCGGTCATTCTGGTCATTATGGCGTTCCAGTCACTGGCTTTTTATATATAGACTAGAGGCCCAGTGCACAAATAAATGCACTAGTGGGGTCCCTTGGCCTGGCTGGCGATCGGGGCCGATCAGGGCAAGCAGGCCCAGGGGAGGGGCCCTGGGAAGTTGGCCAGCTGCCCTGCCCTGATCAGGGCCATCAGGGCCGGCTGGCGAGGGGGGGTGTGCGGGGGGAGGTCGAGGGAGGTTGGCTGTGGGAGAGCACTGACCACCAGGGGGCAGCTCCTGTGTTGAGCATCTGTCCCCTGGTGGTCAGTATGCATCATTGCAACCGGTCATTCAGTTGTTCGGTTGCTTAGGCTTTTGTATATATAGATTATTAAAAGAACATTTTAAAGACCTAAACAAATAGAAAGACATTTCATGCTCATGGGTCAGAAGGCTTAATATTGTTAACATGGCAACAGTCTCCAAATTGATGTACAGATTCAACGCAATCCATATCCAAAGTCTAGTTAGCTTTTTTTGCAAAAATTTACAAACTGATCCTAAAGTTCATATAAAAATGCAAGGGACCTAGAATAGTCAAATAATCTTGGAGGACTCACACTTTCCAATTTCAAAATTTATTACAAAGGTAACATAGTATAGTACTGGTATAAGGACAGACATAAAGCTAGACCAATGAAATATAATTAAGAGTCCAGGAATAAACCTGAACATTTATGGTCAATTAATTTTCAAAAAGCATACAAGATAATTCAATGGGACAGTAATAGTTTTTCAACAAATGGTGCAGGGACAACTGGATATTACAATGAAAAATAATGAAGGTGGGCCCTATATCACACCGTACACAAAAATTAACTCAATATGGATCAAATATCTAAATGTAAAAGTTAAACTCTTAGTATAAAACATAAGCACAAATCTTCATAACCTTGTATAAAGCAATAGCTTCTTAGATAATACACCTAAAGCACAAGCAACCAAAGAAAAATTAGATAAGTTGGACTTCATCAAAATTAAAAATGTTGTGCTTCAAATGATACACATCAACCAAGTTAAAAGACAACCCACAGAATGGGAGAAAATATTTGGAAATTATATATTTGATAAGGGACGTGTATCCAGAATATAAAAAGAATTCTTACAACCAATAATAAAAAGACAAATAACCCAATTAAAAATGGACAAATGATCAGAATAGACATTTCTTCAAAGAAGATATACAAATGGCCCATAAGCACATCAAAAGATGCTTAATATCACTAGCCATTAGGGAAATGCAAATCAATATCACAATGAGATACTAATTCATACTCACTAGGGTTGGGAGCGCTACAATAAGAAGACAGATTAAAGCACGTGTTGGCAAGCCTATGGAGAAATTGGAAGCCTCATTCATTGCTGGTGGGAATGTAGAATGGTTCAACCATCCTCTTTGGAAAACAGTCTACAAGCTCCTCAAATGGTTAAATAGAGTTACTATATGACCCAGCAACTCCATTCCTAGGTACATACTCAAGATAAATGAAAACATACTTCTCCACAAAAGCTTGTATACAAATGTTCATAGAACTATTCACAACAGCCAATAAGTGGAAACAACTCAAATGTCCATCAACTTATGAATACAAAAAAAATGTGGCATAATCCATACAATGAAATATTCAGCAACAAAAAGGTATAAAGTTACGATACATGCTACAGCATAGATGAACTTTGAAAACATTATGCTAAGTGAAAGTGCCAGTCACAAAAGACCATATATAGTATGATTCCATTTTTATGAAATGCCCAGAATAGGCAAAGATTAGTGGTTGCCTAGGACTGGAGCAGGGGTTCTCAAACTAGGCCCGCGGGCCACATGCAAATACAAATATTGTATTTGTTCCTGTTTTGTTTTTTTACTTCAAAATAAGATATGTGCAGTGTGCATAGGAATTTGTTCATAGTTTTTTTTTAAACTATAGTCCGGCCCTCCAACGGTCTGAGGGGCAGTGAACTGGCCCCCCGTTTAAAAAGTTTGAGGACCCCTGGTAGGCTGTTGAAGCACCCTGAGCTTGCATGCTGGGTCTGAAGCAGCAAGTAAATGTTAGAAATAAAGGCATGGAGACTGGATTCCCCTTGCTTTCTTCTTTTTTCTTTTTTAAAAAAATATATTTTATTCATTTTTTACCGGGAGGAAGGGAGAGGGATAGAGAGCTAGAAACATTGATGAGAGAGAAATATCGATCCGCTGCCTCTCTACAGCCCCTACTCGGGATGTGCCTACAACTCGGGCACATGCCCCTGACGGGAATCGAACCTGGGACCCTTCAGTCCGCAGGCCGATGCTCTATCCACTGAGCAAAACCGGCCAGAGCTGCCTTCTTCTTCTTTAGTCTACAGATGATTTAGAAACCAGGACTTCCTTACCCTGGCTGCTGAGATACATAAGTTAGTCCTTCCTTAATTCCAGAAGGCAGCTCCAAGTCAGACCCGATTTCTGGTCCTAAGTCCGCTCCGCAGTTCCAGGGCAAATTCAAGGCCTTCATATGCTCTCGCGGTGCTTCTTTCCTAAGGCAGACGAAGAGAACGACGCCTACCATCCAACCTACTTTATCTGCGAGAAGCAGGAGTGAGCCGACCCAGTTGAGAGTGCTGAGAAAATCTGAGGTAGAACATAATGCAATATGCATAGGCTGGGTTTGAACCAGGTTCTGCTGGGGACCTGTGTGACCAGGGGCAAGTCACCTAAAACTGAACCGGCTTCGTTATTTGTAAAACGTACTCCCTTTCACGTCTCCAAATTGGTAGTTATGAGGAGTGTTGGGGAGGCATCTGGGGGCGGGGGTGGGGGGTGTCTTTCCATAGCGCCCTCAGACGCGCACGAAGAGGGCGAGTGTCCTAGTTGCCCGTGTCTAAACCCTGGCTCCGGCTCTCTCGCCCAATTGTCTTATTTACAGATAAACAAAGTTCCATGGTTACACAGAAGGACGGCCACAAACCCCATCCAAGGGCTTTGGGGTTTGCGAGCAATTCGGCACGACCTGCGTGGGAGCAGCAGCAGGCGGTGGCAGCTGCACAACGTGGCCACCTCCTCGGCGACAGACGGAGGCCCGCCGCCTAGAGGCCGGTTCAGGCCCCGCAAGGGAAGCGTCGTGAAGACTCCGGGTACTGCGGCATCCCGGAGCCAATACGCTCTCAGTTAGCTCTGCTAACTCCTTTCTTCCATTGGGCCTCTATAACTGCCAATCAATCATTTGCCCAGTTTTTATTGGTTTAGCTTCGATCATTCTATTCAATTTACCAATCGCGTGTTTCGTTCGAGAACATCTTTACGTCATTACCTCCCTTCCTAAATCTGACGGATTTAACCAGTTCTTCTATTCCATTGGCTGGCCCCAGTCCCACCTCTAGGACATCCTGTTCGAGGCGGAAGTGAGAGAATCTCTATTCCTATTGGCTTAGATTTGCAAGCGGTGGTTGTCCATCAGTCTATCAACCAGGAAGTACGATTCCGGAAGGGGTGGGCTTTGCGACAATGGCGGCGCCGGTGCCTACGGTGTGTTCTCTTTCTCTTTCTCCGGTTGCTATCGTGAATGCTTCTTTTACCTTAAGTGATTCAGGCAAATTATTGGAGCGAGGGAAGGGTGGTGATGAACGTGGCTTCAGGGAGGCAACCTCCCTGGCACAGCGTGGGGAAACGGGCTGGAATTACCGCTCCTCACCAGTAACCTCTGAGGGGCCGGCCCGCTAGAAGGCAAGTTGTGAACAGGAGTGGGAAGGCCGGAAGTCTGGGGTGTCCGAAGGAAAGTGGGGGCTTTCCCCCCTCAGAATCCTGAGGGAAGAATGGCTTTTCTTTATTCCCCCTCCTATAGGAGGTGCTGGAGTCAGACCTGCCGAGAGCGGTGGCACTTTTGAAAAACCTCCAGGAGCAGGTGAGTAATATCACCCTTTTGGAATAGATTAATCAGGGATTGACTTTGACTTCGTGTGCTGTTCACCTCCAAACTGTTGATTTGGGAGCATATATTTGAATGCTACCAAATGCCATAAAAGCAATGATTTGATGAAGACCTTTTCAGGCTACAATGAAAAGTAATTGACTTCTACATCTAAAGGAATTCAGAAAACTTAAGAAAAAAACTATCTGAATCAGTTTCCTTTTTTCTTATAGTTAAGGAAACTGATGCTGGGTAAGGTGATGCGACTTGCCTTTTGGGTGCCCAGCTAATACACATTTATGTAGTGCTATGCATTGTAAGTTCAACCGGTACAGATAAAGGTATAGTCCCCATGGCTTCCCCATGCTTTGGTAAGAGGTTCTTCTTTAGCTTTAAGAAGAGGTGAAAAGTTTTTTCTATCTTTTGAAGAAGTATCAGAAACCATCTCTTGTAATTCTTTTCCAGAACTGAAAAGAAAATACTGTACGTTGAACAGTGTTTAAGATAACTTTTAGGTGGCATTGGTTAGCTTTTGCCCTTTACAGCTTACCGAGATCACTTGATGTATTCTAGTCAGCTGTTTTATTTGGACTAATTTCAGGTAATGGCTGTAACTGCACAAATTCAAGCTCTGGCGAAAAAAGTTCAAGCTAGAGCCTATCCAACAGAGAAGGTAAGACATACTTGAAGAGTAAGCATCCCCCAAGTTGATGTTCTCAACAGCTCTTTAACGATAGGTTTATTGAATGTCTTGTATACTAAGTGCTGGAGCTTTAAAGACAAATAAAGCCCAGTTTCTGTGCTGAAGTCTAGCGAGTGAGACAGATCAAAGTGATAGGTATAAGCAGTAGCAGCCATGTTGCAGAGTCATGACGAGTGCTGTGCAAGCTGAGGAGAAAGATTAAATAATTGCCAGAGGAGCAGAGGAAGTCAGGAAAGGCTTATGGGGGAAGGTAACAGGATTGTGAGGAATAAATAGGAGTCAGAAGTTCAGAAAGAAGCAGATGTGTAAAAGCACGAAATCCTGAAAGCATGGTGATATTCTGGGAAAGAAGCTAAGTCCTTTGTGTGTGTGTGTGTGTGTGTGTGTGTGTGTGTGTTTTAGGGGTAGGAAAAAAGACTGGAAAAGTAGTGATTGTGAGAAGTCTTGTCAACTGAGGCGTTAACTATTGTGTTTCTTCTAATCCAAGGTGCTGCTAATGGAGAACATCACTCATTTTATATATATTAAGAAAAAATGCTACCTGTTAATCTGTGACATGTACTAAAATACTGTTGATTAAAAGATGCATCTTGACTTCAGAGATGTCAAAATATGAAAACAATGTGCATCTTAAAATTGAAAGATGGTGGTTTATAAATTAACGTCTTATAGAACCTTCTCAGGGATTATTGAGTATGGCCAGTATAAACAGGGTTCTGGATTCCTTTACTTACTTGAGCTGGAAAATCTGGTGTCATCTGTTTTATATACTGAACTTTTTTGCTGAGATATTATTTAAGCAAAACATACCATAGGTTAACAAAAGTATGAAAATCATTGCAGTAGGATAATAAGCATTGATGGATTTTTAATCACGGGATTTATTCTTTGGAAAGCAGTTTTGTTCTTTAGAAAGATAGCTAACAGCATTTTAAAAAATAATTTTTTGTAATTGATTTCAGAGAGAAAGGGAGAGGGAGAAAGAGAAACATCAATGATGAGAATCATTGATTTGCTGCCTCCTGCACGCCCCCTACTGGGGACTGAGCCCACAACCTGGGCATATTCCCTGAGCAGGAATCAAACCATGACCTCCTGGTTCACCGCTGAAGGCTCAACCACTTAGACACACCAGCTGGGCATAAGAGCATTTTTAATATATTCTTTGTCTTTTCTTTCTCATCAAATTTTGTTCTTGTCTATTTTTATACTTTCTGCTTATTTTTTTATCTTTGCTTTTTTCTTTCTTTGTGTTTCTCCTGCTTATAACTCATTTTGCACTTGGCAGTGCCTATGCATGTCAGAAGAGCCTACATCTCAAACTCTTGGCTGTCTTTATTCTGGGTACCATGCTTTGCTTCAGTTTAATGCCTTTTTGAGATGGGCTACCAGCATGTATCTTAGATCACTATATATTTGTTTATTCATTGAGCAGATATTTACTAGCTTATCACCAAAGGCTTTTACTAGGTGTTTTATAGGTTACAAAGTGTTTTCATGTTATATTATTTGCATCTCATAATTGCTCTTTGACACAGGAAGGAAATAGTGTTCATATTACAGATGAGGAAACTGATGTTAGAAGGTTAAGTGACTTACTCAATATTTGATTACTGAATACCTAATTCAAAAGTTAAACTCAATTTGCCTGCCTTTAAAATCCTTTGCTTATCCTCCTGTACTACACTAATGCTTATCTTAAGAGCTTATCTTGTTAGACTCAGACTGAGTTTGAATCCCAGTTTTATTCCTATTACTGTGTAATCTTAGGCAGAGTATTTAACCTTTTTGATATAGGTCTTCCTAGAATGACAATGAAAACACAACAATCCAAAACTTATGGGACTCGGTGAAAGCAGTCCTGAGAGGGAAGTTCATAGCATTACAAGCCTCCCTCAAAAAAAACCTAAGAAAAACTGGTAATAAATTATCTAACCCTGCAACTTAAGAATTAGAAAGAGAGCAACAAGAAAAGCCCAGGAAGGAGATAATAAAGATCAGAGCCCTATCTGGTTTGGCTCAGTGGATAGAGCTTCTAATTCTTTAAGTTGCAGGGTTAGATAATTTATTACCAGTTTTTCTTAGGTTTTTTTTGAGGGAGGCTTGTAATGCTATAGTTTAAAAAAAAACTATGAACAAATTCCTATGTACACTGCACGCATCTTATTTTGAAATAAAAAAACAAAACAGGAATAAATACAATATTTGTATTTGCTTGTGACCCGCGGGCCGTAGTTTGAGTACCCCTGTGATAGAGCGTTGGCCTGTGGACTGAGGGGTCCCAAGTTTAATTCTGGTCAAGGGCACATGCCCAGGTTGCAGGCTCGATCTCCAGTAGGGAGCGTGCAGGAGGCATCTGATCAATGATTCTCTCTCATCATTGATGTTTCTATCTCTCCTCCTTTCCTCTCTGAAATCAATAAAAATATCTTAAAAATAAAATAAAGATCAGAGCAGAAATAAATGAAATAGAGACCAAAAAAACTATACAAAAGATCAAGAAACCAAGAGCTGGTTCTCTGAAGGAGAAACAAAATTGATGAACCTCTAGCTAGGTCACCAAGAAGCAAAGAGAGAGGAACCAAATAAACAAAATCAGAAATGAAAGAGGCGAGATAACAACAGACCCCACAGAAATACAAAAGATTGGTATGGGTCTTCCTAGATCTATGGACTTTCTCAGTTTTATTTTATACAACAGTGACTCCTTTTTAAAAAATAACTATAGCCCTAACTGGTTTGGCTCAGTGAATAGAGCGTCGGCCTGCGGACTGAAGGGTCCCAGGTTCGATTCCGGTCAAGGGCATGTACCTTGGTTGCGGGCATATCCCCAGTGGGGGTTGTGCAGGAGGCAGCTGATTGATGTTTCTCTCATTGATGTTTCTAACTCTCTATCCCTCTCCCTTCCTCTCTGTAAAATATCCATAAAATATTTTAACAAAAAATAACTATAACTTAAGTCAGTGCTCACACATTGTACTTTCTTTTAAAAGAATAAACATATAACATTTGTTTAATTTTCTGCCTGTAAATATAATAAGCTTTTAATTGTAGAAGGTTTGGCAGATACATAAAAACACAAAGAAGAAAATTAAAAGTTTTATATAATCACTGTTCTAAGATAACCACTAAGGTACATTTTTTTGGAAATTTCTTTTATTTTAAAAGTAATGCATGCTTGATGAAAAAACAGTTTCACAGTACAAGCACTCCATTTCTACCTTTTTCTCATTTTGGTCTCCAGGGATAGTAGTTGTTAATTATGTGTTATTTTCCAGACATATTTTTATACATATAAAATGTGTGCATCATACTCCCCCCATTTTAGTTGGAACCATATTACATTTTTTACAGAGCGTAGAAAGTGTTGTGATATGAAACTAAGTATGAAAGGAATTTTGTCAGTATGTATAGATCATTGTTTTTAACCTATATTGTATAATTCCATTGTATGGGGATAGAATCAGTAATTGTTTTTTATTAAATTAGTTTAGAATTCGGCATTATGGAGGCTTTTTAAAAAAAATGTGTTTTTAGCCATAACTGGTTTGGCTCAGTGGATAGAGCGTCGGCCTGTGGACTCAAGGGTCCCAGGTTCGATTCCAGTCAAGGGCATGTACCTTGGTTGTGGGCACATCCCCAGTAGGAGGTGTGCAGGAGGCAGCTGATCGATGTTTCTCTCTCATCGATGTTTCTAACTATCTCTCTCCCTTCCTCTCTGTAAAAAATCAATAAAATATATTTTAAAAAATGTGTTTTTATTTATTTTATAGAGGAAGGGATGGGGGAAGAGAGTGATAGAAACCTTAATGAGGAGAGAGAATCATTGATTGGCTGTTTCCTGCACACCCCCCACTGGTGATTGAGCCTAAAACCTGGGTATGTGCCCTTACCAGGAATGGAACCATGACTTCATGGTTCATGAGTCAATGCTTAACCACTGAGCCACACTGACTGGGCTGGAGGCATTTTTTATTGTCACAACTTGAGGGGATATCAGTGAGTAGAGGCCAGTGATGCTGCTGAGCACTCTCCAGCGCCTAGACAGCAGTCCACAAATGATCTCCCTAAATGTTAATAGCTCTGAGGTTGAGAAATCCTGCTGTAGTTATTTTGGAGATATTTTGATTTTCTTGCTCTTACTGTGTTTCAAAAGTGCTCTGAGCTTTGCTTTTCTCTTGTTAGCATAATTTTCTCTGTGGCTATTTCAGGTACAGCCACCCCCCTTGAGATTACTCCAGATACCTTACATGAATTGATTGGGAAAAACTTGAACTTGGAAAGGATTATCCTGTTTGTCCTAGGCTTTCCTGATTCTCTGGCTAAAACAGAATTTGTACCTCTTACTGTTTTGTTTAACTCAGGGTCTCAGCCTCTTGGAAGTGAAAGACCAGTTGCTGCTCATGTACCTTATGGATCTGAGCCATCTCATCCTGGACAAAGCCTCGGGAGGGTCTCTTCAGGGACATGCGGCAGTTTTGAGACTGGTGGAGATTCGCACGGTATGAAGCATTTGGCATCTTAGAGTCCTAAGTTTCCAAATCCTGAACTCCAGGACTATCACACAATAGCTGTCATTTAAGTGAATGTTCTCATATTTAAGTGAGGAAACCAAATGAAAGGTAGTATTTTTCTCTTCTTTGGTTCTGACTTTGTGCATATGCTAGTTAAGTGCTTTATCTGGCAACTTAATATAGGGACTCTGCTATGTGCTTAACTTTGGGAAGGGAATGTGATCCTTTCTAACCATGTTACAGGTTTTGGAAAAAATTCGTCCCTTGGATCAAAAACTGAAGTATCAAATTGACAAACTGGTCAAGACTGCAGTGACAGGCAGCCTCAGTAAGTGGGAGAAGGGAGAAGCTGTAAGGTTATGTGGATTCCATCATAAAGTCCAAAATCTTATAAAATCTCTTGGGGTTTTTTGTTTCAGGTGAGAATGACCCACTCCGTTTTAAGCCTCATCCCAGCAATATGATGAGCAAGGTAAGGGGTTGCGTTGTCCTGATTTTCCTGAATGAGTCTCGTGGTGATCCTGGATCTCCTGGGATTCTCTTATTACTCTTGATTCCCAGCTTGTGCCTTAGAGTGTTGAGTATGAGATTCCCCCTTCTGCCTTTTATTTTCTCACCTCCCTAGGGTATGCCAGCTTTGGTTTTCCTTATCATCTGTCTAACACTTCCTAAGTTTATGGACATTATATTCTTTTTATAGTTGAGCTCTGATGATGAGGAAGATGAAGCAGAGGAAGGACAGTCTGGGGCTTCAGGGAAGAAATCTGCAAACGGAGCAGTTAAGAAATATGTTCCACCACGCTTGGTGCCGGTACATTATGGTATGAACCGTGGCTACCACCTCCTCCGTGTGAATTGTGTTTCTCTTCTCCTTTTCTCTGTTCTGGGATAACCTTTGCTAATTTTTATCACATAGATGAAACAGAGGCTGAGCGGGAAAAGAAGCGTCTAGAACGAGCCAAGAGACGAGCATTGAGCAGCTCTGTTATTCGTGAACTTAAGGAGCAGTACTCAGATGCTCCAGAGGAAATCCGTGACGCCCGGCATCCTCATGTTACTCGCCAGAGTCAGGAGGATCAACACAGGTCTGAGTCCTTGTAATTAGACAGTATTTTCTGCGCTGTAGAGACCAGTCCTTGTGCTTTGGATGAATATGGTTAGGTCTAGTGCCAAACGAACCCACATTATATAGAGAATGGAGTGGAAAACTTGGGAGGACAGTTTCTAAGAATTAGGGGTTTGAAGCACAGACTAAGAACTAGGAAGAAGATATCCCCTCCTCCCCCAACTGAACAAATGCTATATGAAGGAGAACACTTTAAAGCAGGTTTTTGTAATGGCATCAAGAGTGCTAGATAAGTTCAGGAAAGAGAAATAGAGAATTGATTGTAACGTAAATACAGACTCCTTGACTTTGCCCAGTTGATAGGTTTGAGTGAAGGGGTCCATGTAGCTAATCCTGTCTGTAGATCTGAAATATAAGAGTTCTCTGATATAATAATAATTTAAATATTCCAGTGGTTGGACTGTGAGTTCATCAGTAGGGAGGAGGGAAATTCTAGCACAAAGAACGTTTCTTTGAGGAAGTTCGGTGTTGAGCATTTGGTATGTCCTTACTAAATACTATATTGCCCTGCTATGAAATCTGTTGAGAACTGTCATAATAAGGGGTGAGTAAAATGTCTGGGCCCAGGTTCTGGGCTGCAGCTTGTGTGTTATGGATTGAGCATATTAGACACAGTGTCTGTGTTTCTCTGACAGGATTAACTATGAGGAGAGCATGATGGTGCGTTTAAGTGTCAGTAAGCGAGAGAAAGGACGACGAAAACGCGCAAATGTCATGAGCTCACAACTTCATTCTCTCACGCACTTCAGTGACATCAGTGCTTTGACAGGAGAAACCCCTCATCTTGATGAGGTGAGGTTGTGATACAGGGGTGGGAGGTGGTCTTCATGCTTTCAGCCAAATGCATGTGGGGCTCGTTGCCATGGGAAACTGGGGAAGAGATACCAACACTTGCACTGCCATTCCTTTACTTCTCCATCTGTCTCCAGGATCAGAATCCTATTAAGAAGCGGAAGAAGATACCCAAGAAAGGTCGGAAGAAAAAAGGTCAGTAAATGGCTAGGAGTTAGGTGATCAAGTGCAGGGTGGAGAGTATGAATTGGGATGCCAGCTTTGAATTTGCCATCCTAGGTCTTACTGAGCCCTATAATATCTCTTCCATGCTGGGCATTAATCTCTTTAGAGGTGGGATTTTATTTTTCTTCTTTCCCAAGCTGAAAATCAGCATAATTCACAGAAGAGATTTCTGGATTGTTCCTCTAAGCTCCCACACCTTTTCTGGCGTCCTTAAATAAAACTACTAAAGTGTCACTTGAAGAAACCATTATCCCACTTCAATTTCTTCCTACTTCTAGTCTTTTGTCCTGGGAGGATATGGAGTAGTGCCTAGTGGCCTTCTCTTTAGATGTCTTTTTGTTCTGTTCCTCCGGCTTTTCCAACTGTCCTTTGCCTCATTCTTGATTTCCCTTCCTTTCAGGTTTTCGGAGGCGGCGGTGATTGTGGGTGTACATATTTCTATATATTTTTTGTCATCCTGAGATACTTCCAGTTTCACTGTATGTAGGTCCTTTTTCTCGGAATTTATTGTTTGTTCTGGACATGTGGAAATCTGTTAATAAAACTGATTTTACTTATGAATTGAAGCCCCTATTGCACATGTATGACTCATTTGCTGGGTGTGGGGTATTTTAGGTGAGAGGCCAATAAAAGGGAAAGATGAGGTTTTGGGAGGAGTGGGAGAAGTTTGGCTCTATATAGGTGTTTTTTTAATAGAAACTAGAAATTGGTTATTTAACTAAATAAATAAATAAATGAGCTCTGGCCAATGTTGCTCAGTGCTTAGAATGGTCCGTGCACCACAGAGTTGTGGTTTTGATTCCCAGTCAAGTACCTGGGTTGCAGGTTCGATCGGCCCGTCAGGGCTTGTATGGGAGGCAACCAATTGATGTCTCTCTCCTACATAATATTTTTCTCTCTCTCTCATTCTCTTTCCCCAACTTCCCTCCCTCCCTTCCACTCTTTTTAAAAAGCAATGGAGCCTAGCTGGTTTGGCTCAGTGGATAGAGTATCAGCCGGCGGACCAAAGGGTCCCGGGATCAATTCTGGTCTAGGGCACATACCTTGGTTACAGGCTCCTCCCCAGCCGGGGCCCTGGTCGGGGGTGTGCAGGAGGCAACCAGTCGATTTGTTTGATTTGTTTCTCTCACATCGATGTTTCTTTCCCTCTCTCTTCCATTCTCTCTAAAAGATCAGTAGAAAAATATCTTCAGGTGAGGATTAATTTTTTTTTAAGGCAGTGGAAAAAATATCCTCCAGTGAGGATTAAACAAAAATTTTTAAAAGTTGAGAGATTAGAGTATTATAGTCAACTTTTCAACTCATGTTTTCCCAAGTTCCTGTAATACATGAATTTTAAGGTTTTTTTTAATGTATTTTGCTGGCCACCAGGTGGCATTAGTGGTTCAGAAAACCTTTTGATGCTTGACTAATCAAAAGCAAGAGAGAACTTCCTCATCAGTGAGTTATTCTTGTCTCCATTTCTCTGGATGTTTTTCTTTTCTTTCTAAAATAGCATGAACACAGGGCTGATCTTAGCTCAGTTATTGAGTGTATCTGGAGAGAACAGTGAATGAGAAGACTAGAGTAGGAAGAATCTGTATAGTCTTGTGTTTTTCAGCCTCTTTGACCCTCCTTCAACTAAGGCAGTGATGGCGAACCTTTTGAGCTCGGCGTGTCAGCATTTTGAAAAACCCTAACTTAACTCTGGTGCCGTGTCACATATAGAAATTTTTTGATATTTGCAACCATAGTAAAACAAAGACTTATATTCTTGATATTTATTTTATATATTTAAGTGCCATTTAACAAAGAAAAATCAACCAGAAAAATGAGTTCGCGTATCACCTCTGACACACGTGTCATAGGTTCGCCATCACTGCACTAAGGCCTCAGTTTACTAGTCAGTAAAGGCCAGTCCTTTTACAAAGAGCTTGCAAAAGAATGGCAGCAAGCAGGCAGAAAGGAAGTTCCTAGCTTAAAGACCAAAGAAATGAAAATCTCACAGAAGTACCTGCCCAATTCAGGTGGGAGTTACATATCTGAGATCTTCTATTCTTTTCAGAGAATGACCTGTTAGAGATCCCTCAGGCCTTGTATGATAAAGTGAAAGAGGAATGGAAAGAGAGAAGTTGAGGGGTCTGTAGAGTTAATTCATTATAGTTTAAGAGCATTGCCAAAACCGGTTTGGCTCAGTGGATTGAGGCTCGGCCTGCGGACTGAAAGGTCCCAGGTTCGATTCCGGCCAAGGGCATGTACCTGGGTTGCGGGCACATCCCCAGTAGGAGATGTGCAGGAGGCAGCTGATCGATGTTTCTCTCTCATGGATGTTTCTAACTATCTCTCTCCCTTCCTCTCTGTAAAAAATCAATAAAATATATTTTTTTAAAAAAAGAGCATGGGGTCTCATGAACATCCAGTTTCCAAGCCTGGCGTTCCTGGGCAGCGTCATGGAGAGGGTGTAATGTGGGTCATTGATTCCTGTGAATGGGGATCCCTGCCGGTCTGATGGGGCAGGGCCTGTTTTCAGCCAGCAGCCCTGGGAGAAGGCAGTCAGGAGACCCTTAACTCTGACCCTGGGTGAGTCGCTTAGCATCTCTGCTCTTTACTTTTCCGCAGCTGAAAAGTGAGTGTGTTAGACAATCACCGAGATTCCCTCCAAACCAGAGAGCCCAGAGCTGTTTCTCATGGATGACACCAAGATGCTCTTACTTCTGGGGACTCTAGCTTTTAGTCCCTGGTAGGTCTGAGAGAACCTGACATCCCCAGGGCCCTCATACTTCTATTTCTTTGAGTGAATCTAAGCAAAGAGGCACAAGAACAGATTTAGAGATTCTTTTTCCAACTCAACAAGAAGTTCAGTTAAAATATGCTTCAGGACTATTGCATTTGCTTCTGATTTATTCAAATTTTGGATTATGGGAACGGCCAAGGGAAAGTAAGTGTTTTTTGCTTTTGTTAAAAAAAGATCTTTTTTTGTGTTATATCCTGAGCTAAGTGCTTTACACTAATGCTTACAAAATATGTCATCTTTATATACTAGTGAGGAAACAGAGACACTTAGGTTATTTGCCCAAGGTTACCGGGCTAATGAGTTAGAGAAACAGTGCTGAGGAACATGGAGGATGGAGGACTTCAAGTGTCCTATGATTTATGAAAGTCTTCAGAATTTTTGTTTTTTTCCTTTTTTTAAAAAAAAATTTGGTAGGTAGTTTATAACCTCAACCTCCCCCCCATCCCTGCTGCTCATTGCCATTCCAGGCTTTACTTTCAAGGAAACCACAAATTTCCAAACATTGCTCTGGCCTCTTGGTGGTATAGCAGTGACTGAACAGACAAAAGTCCCTTTCCCAAGATTTCTGAGGAGCTTCCCTGTTTCTTTAGAACTCCATAGAATGTAGTTTGAAAACCACTGTAGTAGAGCAAGGAAACCAAGACTTAGGATTTGAGGTTTTCTTTATGGTCATTGTTTTTCTTCTC